AATATTGGGACAGTTTATCACTCACTCGATTAGATTGTGGTGTTAACCAACAAAACCCAATTGTGTGTTAAACCTCATCACAACCTCCTTGAGTGAGTGACAGTCGTCTCAGTAATCATCGCATCCACCCATCAATCACTTCCAGTCGCAAAGTCGACACAAATGTCACGAAATCTATTTATTTTCATTCATAGTATTCATTCAATCCGTTTGTTTGTATTAAATACCAAAGTTTGACGAAATATGATATATAATACGATATTTTTTTCAATAAGTATTAATAATGCAAAACATGAGCTTAAAAGCCTATTAATTATTAATAAATCAATAAAATATTCAATGAGTACAGAATTGAAACTATAGTACAATTACATTGAGAATAAACAGACCGTTATTTGAATATTTGAAAAATGAAAATAATTTTATCAACAAATCTGTACTTTTTTATCACAAATTCCATCGCTTTGTGAGAATTTGCATGAAATTAATATCCATTAGTTTCGGAATTTATTGCTATTGTGTTCAAGAATTTGGAAATATGTTTGCANCCATTAGTTTCGGAATTTATTGCTATTGTGTTCAAGAATTTGGAAATATGTTTGCATTTCTCGTTGAATGAACTCAAGAATTGGCCGACAATTCACTGCCAAATGTGTTTGAAAACAATAAATCCCAAAATGATGTTATCGTAAATCACATCTAGCATATTTCTTGATTGTTTTACGACCAAAAACTAATTTTTAGGATTCATTAAAATTATTTGTAATTTATTTTTTATGTGTCTAACTCTAGGGTTCACTCAAACATTAATTTACATAAAAACAATTTAGATTGAAATGAGATGACAATACTCGCAATGCATTGAAATATTGCTTTTAAACATTTTATTCTTTAAATAGCAATTGTTTTGTGTATTATAAGAATATTCTGTTTTCAAAATAGTTTTTCAAACATTTTATTATTTTACTTTCTATTTTATTATTTAATTAGTACTGTACTGTATATATAGATTGTAGGAATACTAGAATTATTTTATTGTAAATAAAAATAAATCCTATAATTGCTATGAAATGACAATAATTGTCTAAACATTAAAATCAATTCATTGTTAAGTCTAAACACTATTTTAAAGGCTAATCAGAGTTATGTATAACAGTCTGAAGGAATGGCCGGCAGACATGGACTACCACTCTATGGTTGAAGAGTTCCAGAAGGCGTTCCACGTGTGGTCTGAAGCCTCCAAACTGACGTTCACTGACATGAGGAGGGGTTCGGCAGACATCGAGATCTCGTTCCTTCGCGGCCGACACGGCGATGAATACCCTTTCGACGGTCCCGGAGCCATATTGGGTCACGCGTTCTTTCCCGGGGATGACATCGGAGGCGACGCCCACTTCGATGCCGACGAACAGTGGGACAAACGGCGGTCTAATGAAATCGATAGGAGACCCGGTGTTTGGGCCGGTATGTGGCAATGCACTCAGCTTACCAATCATTCACTTAATCATATGCTTTTATATGTGTTTTAGGGGTCAGTCTGTTCTCAGTGGCGGGTATTATATGCAATAAATTTGACATCAATTTATGAATAATGAGCTCAAATTGATATACATATATAGCCCACGAATTTGGACATTCATTGGGTTTATCGCACTCTTCGGTCTCCGGTTCCCTAATGTTTCCATACTATCAAACACTTGATGACAACTTTAGGCTCCCGTACCTGCTGTGGTTACCATATGTTGTCGAGATGCCATACAGGCTGGGATAACAGCATAATTATCAAAATTTAATCGCAAATAAGACTTGATTTCCATCCTCTCCAAGTAGACTGGGGTCCCGAGGTGGTATCCCAACACTGCCAACAACTAAGCTTACAAACCGTCCCACGAAGTGGTCAACAATTCCCAAGTTTTCATCGGAGTTCCCAAACCCGTGTGATATAAGTATAGACGCGATCGCATCCATACGAAAAAATATATTCATTTTTAAATCAAAGGTTGTAATGCCATGAATGCAAAGTAAACAATAATGAACTAATGGTTTGTATGAATTGTAGTACTTTTGGTGGTTGCAAGAGAACCGGGATATAAATCGGGCCGAACCCACGGAAATCACTCACTATTGGCCTCATTTGCCGAAGGATTTGGTGAAAGTGGACGCCGTCTATGAGCGACACAAAGACGCAAAGATTGTCTTTTTTATCGGCAAAGAGTATTACGTTTTCAATAACCAAAATCATTTAGAGCCGGGTTATCCCAAAACACTCGTTTCTATGGGTAAATCTAATGGCATTTATTTGGCAATAAACTAGTTTATAATGGTTTTGATGAATGGTTTTGTAGGACTGCCAGAAACACTGGACAAAGTGGACGCCGTTATGATATGGGGCCACAACGCAAAGACTTATATATTCAGTGGTTCTCAGTATTGGAGGTTCGATGAGGAGGACAATCGAGTGGAATTGGATTACCCCAGAGATATGGCCGTTTGGAAGGGCATTCCCGTTCCCATCGACGCCGCCTTTCAGTGGGCGTCCGATGGTATGACTACTGGACATAAGCTTATTATTTGCTGCCATTAATGCCATTGTCTTGACTGCTGTCCCCTTCAGGTCATACATACTTTTTCAAAGGAAAGCAATTCTGGAAATTTGATAACCGAAAGATGCAATCGAGTGATGGATATCCGCATAGTATCGGCCCGTTTTGGTTCCGTTCGCTGCACTGCAGGGTTAGTATAGCACCGGGCGGTAAAATAGACGTCACTTCATCCGTCTATAGTATTAACTTGAAGGCCAGGCATTGGATTAAATCACAAACCCTTTTGATTCTGTTATCCAATTATCTATTGTTTTATAACTTTTATATATTACATATATTTTATAATTGAATAGAAATCAATATCTGTTTACATATATACTTAACTGACAAGTCACTCTAAAATAACGTTTGGTCTTGAGTTATACAAAAAATAACAGTATTATAAAAAGTAATGTTCTAAAATATATTTATTGAGTTTGAAGCGGTATATTTATTTATATCATTAAATGCCAGCACAAAGTGTTTCCTTAACTCAATATATTTATAAATGAATTAATATTTTAAACAAATTTTTTGTACAAAAAATTCTTAATAAAAAAGAAGTTATGAATTGATGTTACTTTTGTCAATAATATAATAATTTCTAGAAAGCCTTTTGAAAACAAGGAATCGTATTGCTTGGGGCGTAAGTCAACAATGTAAGTGTTCTAACGAAAAGTAAGTGTTCAAATGTTTATTGCAAATCCAATAGTTTGGCTTTAATATTAAATTTTATTTGATTTATAAATTATAACAAACATATCAAATATTTTATTTTATAGAAAAACTAATATTTTACATAATTAGAAATTTCTTAAGCTGTCAAATAGTGTACTTATACTCGTTTATATGATCACAAATACTGTAGTTTACTCACTATCCTATTTAGCTTCAAGTGAATTTATGGGTCACTATCGGCCACATTATCTCTGTTATCATCAGAATAGTTATCGTAATCATCATAAAACTCATCCCTGTCCCACATCATCATCAGCTACAGCAGTTCTCATAGCGCAAACCGCAATTGAACTTTAAATAACTTTAACTAAAACTCTAGTGCTAAATTTCAGCTCAGTAGAGACCAAACCTACTTAACCTGTGTCTTAAAGAGGAATTCTATAGATATGTGTTCGCATCGAAGCAATTGCAACGATTCAAGGGAATGGCAGTTCTCGACCATAAACTCCAGACCCGTGTCCGTCACAAAGTGCGACCCACTTAAGTCTAAATAGACTAATGATTGCAAATGCGACAACTTTTTGAGAGATTCGTCAGTAATCTAAGTATTAATTCAAATGATGTTTTGAGTGTTATTTGCTTTGCAGTCAAATCTTAAAATACTTACTTTTGTATCAGAAATATGTAATCTCTGCAAATGGGGTAAATGTTTAGGTATTTGACTGATTGACTGATCAGTTACTCGTGAATTAAGCACAAGAAGTAGTTCTTTGAGTTTCAAACACTTGGAGATTATTAATAAAAGCGATTCGTCACTAATATCACTAAAATGAGATGAATTATCAAGAATTTCAAGATTTTCTAACGAACTGATTGACGAAAAGCCATAAATAGACTCTGAAATAAAAATTAAAAAAAAACTTTTTTAAACATCTGTTGAATGACATGCAGTCGAGTATTGTATAGAATAATATTGAATGTCTGAAAAAAGCTTTTCATAAAAAAGCAAACAAACCGTCAGATGCTTGCGATTGAGACATACGAAGAACTTTCAAGTTTTTCAGATTCAAACAAATCATTTCCATTACTTTGCCACTTAATGGTGTTATATTAAGACTTTCCAAAGCAGTTCTCTGTCCGCCAATCAATTCTTTAATCCCTTTCTCTTTGATCTGAGAAAATATTATTCAGAAACTGATAGAAAAAAATAAAGTTTATTAAACACTAATACCTTCGGACAGTCGGTTATGTCCAGCTTCTGAAGAGTTGGCGCTAAGAGTCTAAAGCAGTTGCCATTGATTTTGTGATTATTGGTGACCTCCAAGTGCTGCAACTGTTTGGCACTCTTTAACAGCCACCAGAAGCCCTCTTCACCGAAATTCGTGCAACAATTGAGACATAAAATCTGAATTCCAGTTAAGAGTCCATAAGTGATTTAAAAATATAAATAAAATAAAGCATAAAATGGTCATTACTTTAAGATTTGGACACTTTTGACCCAGAATTTTGATGGTGTAGTCAGTTGTGGGTCCGGAGTCATAGACCAATCGCTCCAATAGAGGACACGAAACAGCTGTTAAAAAGGCGTTCAAATATAATGCAATCAAATGACAGAATAATTAATAGATCAGTAAATCATTGATAAGGTATAAATCAGTGACACATAAATAGTTATATTCATTATTGAATGACAAGAATAATAAATTGTAAGCGAAATATCAAATGAATTCAATATTTCACAGAAATTAAGAGCTTTTTGTAAAGCTTTTTAAAATATAAATAATATTCTGTTGAATGAATAGCAAACAAATAAACAAAATAAATACCAATAATTTCCAACGCTTTGAAATCGAGAAAATTTGTAACACATTTCAAATCAATTGACTTGAGATTCGGACACTTCTTAAGTATTGAGAACAATATGTTTGATGTCAATGCTATTCGGGTGATGACAACATTTGTCAGATGTTAACAAAATTTTTAAATACAAAATTCATATTCATTGCAAATACCCGGAGATTCAAAGTGAAAAAATGTTTGCGTAAATGAAATATGAGTTCTTGAGGCCCAGAATCCATGCATTAGAGATTGCCATCGCTTACAGACTAAGGAATTGAAGCAATGAATAAAAGACAAAATTTGTTGCCATTTGATGCCAATATGACAGATAACTACCGGACTCAACGACAGTGCGCTCTATAAGAGTATCCAAATGTGCGAATACGTTGAGAATGGAGTCGTCGTCCAAGTGATCAAAAGTAGTGACACTTTCATCGGCACTCTTACGCAACAAAACTAAAGCCGACATTTGATTGTCCATCGATTCTGTGGATTCTGTGCACCGACTCCTGTACTCAAGGCTGAGATCTCTTTCGCGACACAACTCTTGTACTTCGGATTTCATTTGTCTAAACACTTTAGGTTTGGCTAAAAACACCCGAAGTTGTCTTTAATGACAATTGAGCCGATAATCGTAATCATAGTTAGTGTTAAGACATGTTTAGTCATTGGATCAATGGGTTGATTACCTGTAGTCTAACACGAGTTCATTGGGGTCTGCGTTCAGACACTTTTGCAAATCGCTAACCCTTTTGAATGTTATGAATCCATATCTACAGTAACGTGAGATGACAATAGCTTTTTCGGTAAATATAGTCGACAAACGTATGTTTAGATTACGTGCCCTTTGGGTAATTTCTGAATGTGGTCCTGAACTATACAACAATTGTAAACTTTACCAAATTTTTGGAAAAATTTCGATAACTCTGTGTCCGTAACCTATGAATGCAAACAAAATTATTTGTTTTCAAATAAAATGAATTTCGAAACCGGAAGTAAATTACAAATTTTTGGTAAATTTAATCAATAAATCAAATCAATTAAAACATATAGTTTTAAAACAAATTTTTAAAACAAATCAAATGTCTTTTGACTAGAGATTAATGAGAGACAGATATAAGTGAAAGAAAAAGTGATCGAAATTATCATAACATTTGAGGTAATGATTGACAAATTGAATCATTCATTAGATTAGATAATCACTGTATTTACAAATACAAAAACACGAGATTCCTGTCCCTCTAAAGGGCTGTCCTTTCAAAGGTCGGAGCAACCAATCAATGATCACATACTCTATAACTGATATTTCCTACAAAAAGCCGCCTTTCCGTCCCACCAGACGTGTCCTCCCTGTCCGTGAGATCCTCATCGGAGGGCCGCCTATGGAGTCGACCGGTGCGTCCGAAGTAGTGCTGTCCGTCGAAACCGGTGGCGCCGTTCCCTCCCTCCTCTCCTTTGGGGTCTTCGAGCACCGGCTCATCGATGGGCGACGCGATGTCCATCGGCTGGACGTCACACATACCCGACTCGTCGGCCGATATATTACTGCCGCCGGACTCGCGTCTCATGCGGTGATCGCTGGGCGCCAGAAACGAGTGAGTCTTTCGCGGGGATGGCGTCCGACAGAGTCTGTCCCGAAGGGCCTGTTCTGTGAACTGTTGGAACGCCTCCCTGTGGACGGGTGTGGCGACCGGTGTGGCCGGCAGTGACGACCTGAACACCGCTCCCAACGGCAGACCCGGCATACAGATGGAGTTGAGGCCGAGGAAGGCCTCCGAATGCAGTTTCTGGAGGTGTCTGAACCGCGAGCCAAACATACTTGTGATGAATATACCGGAACTGCTTCGGCGCTGATTCATAAGCAGTGTCTTCGTGGGCGTCATCTGCAGACCGATCGAGTTGGGCGCCAATCGACGGGACAGGGATTGTGTGGAATAGGGCTGTCCTGAAGACATGTCACCCGACATGAAGTGCAGACCAGTGCTCACTCGCGAGGCGTTCCTCAGATTCATGGGATGAGAGGCTGTGGTGGCCGTCGAGTCGCCCCCGGAATCGCAGTCCATTTCGGTGTCCATCGCCTGTGAGACTCAGAGCGAAGACAATGTCCACCAAAACGTGAGATTACTTCCTCCTCTGTAGTGATCAACGAGTGATCACTTGAATCGATGGCCAATCGGTTGAGACAATAATATGGCGTCAAATACAGTGGACACGAGTGATACAAGTGTGACTCGTGGTGCGTGTGTTATGCCATAATCGGTGGCACTCTTGAGATAATATGTCTCATAGTGTCCACGAAGTGATCACACAATCAGTGGTTTGCAACGAAACGAGTGTTTAATTAGTGTTTGAAAACAGATTCAAATCCATAACACATTCAATGCATACGTAATGCCAGTAATGATCGTATGATTCGTATTGTGTTTTGTGTATTAAATTTACAAACCATTCGTACATAACGTTACGGAAATAGCGTTTGGGATGCCATTTGTGTCCCTTTTATTTCACTCAACGTTGCTGTCAATTGAAGGCACAGAATATTGACACTTAAACATCAAAAATACAAAATTTACATCATTAGTTAGTTAAAATGATAACAAATTAAGACAGACATTGATTGAATTACAGTATTTTCATAATTTTTACCAAGTAAATAATGACATAAATTAATCTTATCTAATAATATTTATTAAAATTATGCAATAAATATGCTATAAGTTAGGCAATAAACTTTACTAGAGCAGAATATTATTCAGTTTCATACTTTATTTTATTATATTTGGTTTTGGAGTATCCAGTATTTATATTATATTTTAATATTTTATATTTAATTCATAATACATTTTATCGTTTTATATCATAGTTTTAAAACATTATTCAGTAATTATCTTATCATTCAATTCGTTGTTCAAGAACTTAATTATTTTTTTAAAAAAATTATAACAAACCCATTAAATGGTCAACAAAAACAAGAATATTTATATTGAAATCCATATTAAAACATATAAAATAATTCTTTTCATGCTTTACTTAATCATAATCGGCATAAAAATTGAGCAAAACTTGTAAATAAGTTTACTTATGGTATATATAGTAATCAATTAATGACTAGTTTTCACATAATATATCAGTTATTGAAAGACAGTTAAAGAGATCGCAAAAACAAACCGCCGATGAATGCGACGAAACGGATCAGAATAAGAAAGGACTCAACCATTTGAGCGCCAGTAGTAAATGCTTTGACGGGAATGGGATAAGAATCAGAGATTATTCAAAGATAATAAAAAGGTTTGACAACTTTAGGGTCCGGTATGTATTTCATTTCGTGGCCGTGTATTCTCCTTGAGTATGGAGCTACTGTTGTGACTACTCATGCTCGACATGCAGTAGCAGCCACGGCTGCTAAACACTATTCTCAAACCAAATGGCGATTAGGGCGCAGTTGACTATAATGGCGATGTAGGCCAAGGCGTTCAACACGTCCTCCCATTGGCCGATATCTTGGACCCGCTGTCCGGCGAATGGGCGCTGATATACGACACACAACTTGAAAGCGTCGGAACGGATCTCTATTATGTTGTTAATGAGCGCACAGACGGCCGCCAATGGAAAGGTAGACGAGAAGAGCATTACGTAACCAAACTGTATGATGAGTTCGAGGAAGTCATCGAAAGTGCTGTCATATCGTCGCATATTGGCCTCCAGTTCCGCAGATGAGATCTCATTGACACGGATTTTGTGCAGTTTTGACCTATTAAACATACTGAGGGTGTCCTTACCGTGGTAACTGAGGAACTACAATGGCTAGTGAACTGCACACTAGTTATCTCACCGGTTAACGACAGTAGTTAACCACCTGTATGTCCTGTATGTCATATTACAGTATGTGTTAATCATTAGAACTGATAGGTACGGGATGTGGGATAGGAATACCTCTCGAAGTTTATCCATATCTCCGATATAGAAAGCGATGTAAAACAGCGACAGAAAAGAGTTCATGAATTGGACCTAAGAATTGGATACAGAATTAAATAACTATTTATATATAGATTATCATTGAATTCATACTAAAATGAGTTTTAAAATGAGATTATTTTCATGAGTGGTCTCCAACTCGTAATTCTCTACACAAATAGATATCAGTAATTAATTCACAATCAATTACATTGACGACCAAATGTAACTAAGTATGGAAATAACAACTCGGTTTGCCGATTTGTTATTATCTACAGTAGCTTATGACTCTAGTTTTACCGGTCCTAATAAAAGCCATATATAAATCAGGTTTGTCCTTTTGGAGAAAGCCCGATAAGGACGGCATCCCAATAGGTCTGAATGCAATTTGCCATTAACTTAGAATATGACAGAAATTCCCTAAAGAATATTCTGTATAAGAATATTCTGTACAATCAAAGTTTACCTGAAACTTAAACACAGCAATAGTTACGCCGAATATGAATATAAGGCAGAATCCGATGACAGGATATGTAACCAAATACTTGAATAACTTTCTCTCAATTTCCACATTCAATGACTTAAAGACAGTCTTTTCGCGATACAGAGGTCTCACAACTGGTTCACTTGTCTCGAACTTATTGATAGTTGGGTTCCACTTCCGGATCAGTTGATCGTTGGTGTGGCGCCACTTCTGGAGGAATATTGTCGACCAAATGATGTTGAGTACAGTGAAAGCTAGGGCGTAGATCTCGCGGAAGGGACTGTTATTATTGGCGTAGAATGTGATGAATATTCCCAAAATCGATGGGAATATCAACGCAAACGTATAGAAGCCTAAGAATGCGAAATAAATGGCTATTTTGTGGCCAAAGTATCGGCAAATAGTTTCCAACGGCTGGACCGAGAAGAAAGCCGACACCCAATGGACCCGAAGTTCGCATAAATCGTGTTCATTATGGAGGGGAAGGATCTGTTTGACGAGATTTCGTGCGATAAGTTTGGCAATAATCGGATCGTTATCTTTGAATTTCATTTGTTTCCATTCGTTAAGAATAATCAATGGCTCGGAATCGCTTGCATTGTATCGCAAAGTATTGAGAAAATGCATAATCAGTGTCTGTCTCTCGAGTGTAGTCAACGGACGGTCCGCTGTTTGGTGTCTTAACTCGTAGCCCAACTGTTTGGCGCCGGCTATTAGGCACTCATCGGTGGCTGTGATATAGAATGCCTGCTCTTTATAATGGGAATGGGGTTTGACTTCTACTTTAAGTGCCGGCAGTTTTTCGGCCAGAATTTGAACCAAAGAATCGATTATATGATAACCTTTGGGAGTAATGATGAGAATGACATCATATTTGAGATCCTGTTCTGACAAAGCCACGGTGTCTACCCGCGGGCGGAGGACTTATAGAACCCAGACGAAAAGCTACTATAGCGCTTACAGAACGAAAGCTCACTTTGAGGAAAAGGCATCTGATCTGAGGCCTCGCTGTGACAAACCTGAATCCTCTTCGAAATGCATTTTTCAAAATTTTTGAGTAAAAAATAATTTGCGATATATTTTCGACACACAAATCATAAACAGGCTGATTGTCAGTGCTTTTTGTGCGATAATAACATGTGAAAGAATAACCAGAATATGTTTATGCAAATGAATACATATAAATAAATATGAAATTAGCAATCAAATAAACACAAGCACTTGGAATGAGTCCAACAAAACAAATGACTAGAAATTTCGTGTAATTCAGTCTATCCTTTCGCTCGTCAGCACACAAAAAGGGAAATAAAAAGTCAAGTAAGTAAGTAAACTCAGCCTTTATATCTTTAGCTAAAAAACCGAGTTTCACAACGATTTGCTGACTTTTTGAAGTCATATAGACACAGAGTGACTGCGTTTCGTACAGTAAATGACTTTATCTCTACGGAATCGCTGAGAAAAACGAGAAAATAAATTCATTAAAATTGCTAATAAAGAAATTATATTGAAAAACAAGTTAATGATATTTTACATAAACATTAAATATTTAGTTCAGACAATTTGCAATCATTTTGTTTCTCATTTTAATTAACAGTAAAAAGCGTTACCAATATTTACACGTATTTTTTAAAAACAAATATTCAATTCAATACTAATTGAGTCAATAATTATTAATTATTATTATTAAGGGCTTAATTATATCGGAATAGTTAATGAGTTCACAAAAAATATTTACAAAAATTGTTTTTCCATTTTTTTATGAATTTACTCCACGAGAAGTCATTGTTTTATGTTTTATTTATAAATAATTGTTTGCCACCGATTTGTCTGCAATATATCTGTATATTTATATTCAATGATTCAAAAAATATGCCAAATATTACTCCAATTAAATTAAAAACTCTGTTTCACTCGACATATAAACCACATTTGCCGCTAATATCTGCGCTCTTTGTGGTTGTGGTGATCGTATCGTTGCTGTTGTGGCTTATGGTGTGACTTATTCCACGGTTTATCCCAATGCTTGCCGTTATCCTGATGTCGTCCGAAATCAGATTTATTTCGGTTTGCGTTGAAAGTGCCGTTAAAACATTGCTTATCGTTCGCCACCTTTTGAAACGGATTAAACGCATTGCCGTTCATTTCATGATATGATTTGTCGCTGTGTTTAGTCTTCACTTTCTTCGTCTAAACGCACCATAAAAACAAAAACACGTTTAAAACGATAATTAAAAGATCATTCAATACAAGCATACCTTTCCCCTATCGAACTCTTCGTCGTAATCGTCGCTATAATCCTTAACAGATCTCTGGCTCTCCTCCTGGAGAGAAGTGTCCAAATGAGAGGGTCCGCCGTTCCAGGAGTTCACTATAGTATTCAACATTCATATTCACAATTCAATCAATAGTTTTCAATGTTTTAAATTCCAATCAAACCTTTGTCTCCAAACGCTCGATGACTGGCTTTCAAGAGTCCGTTGACAACGGCCTCATTGGTCACCAACAATGGCTTCGCTGGTGTTGTGTCCGATTTATTTTGCTCTAAGCCTTCATCGAAAGGTCTCTTTTTAGTCAAATTAGACAAATCGCGAACGTTTTCGTCCCATCTTTTCTCGTAATGATCTGTTAAATGGGGTTTCAATACAATTCATATAAGTTAACGTCAAAATCAATGTTTTACATCCAATACAGTACCTGAAGGCTTAGTGTAAGTGACATCCCGTTCCTTTTCGACCGTCTCCTTAGTCCTCTCAACCCATTGCAACCCATTATCATCGCCGGAGTCATCACCCGATTCGTCGCTTCCGGACATATCTCTCTTCTTGTGTTTCTTTTTCTTCATTTTCTTTTTCTTCTTCTTCTTGTGTTTTATCGTTAATATAATCTTCTCTTCCATTTCGTCCGAATCGCTTGAATGGGATCTGTGTTTACGTCGCTTCCGCTTCTCATGCTTATGACTACCGCTCTTATCGTGAGCATCGGACTCGTCGTCCGAGCTATTGTTGGCACTCTTCGAGTGACTCCTCTCCTGCTTCTTATCTCTTGGCTTACAATCTCTTCCGCTGTCATTAGGACTCCTATGAGAGCCACCATTCAAACGTCTGTCCAAATTACCATCTCTTTGATGACTACTATCGGTCCAATCGTTTGACTCTACACTGGAATGAACTAACGATCGGTTTTCTGGCTTTAAATCATTCTTCTTCGGCGACAATCTCTCCGAATCCGAGGCTTTGTTTGAGTAATTCTTATCAACAAAATTATCGCTCGAATGGTTGACAGCATCGGAGATGCCGGCGTTGGACGGGCTCTGAGTCTTGCCATTACTTTGCGGCTCGCTTTGAGGTAATTTCTGTTTTGTACTCAACACTGGTGTCACATTTCCGTTGGTTAGACCGCTCGCCGGACAGCCGTTTAGTTGCTGTTTGTTTCTATGCTTATGTTTGGTCCATTACTTTGCGGCTCGCTTTGAGGTAATTTCTGTTTTGTACTCAACACTGGTGTCACATTTCCGTTGGTTAGACCGCTCGCCGGACAGCCGTTTAGTTGCTGTTTGTTTCTATGCTTATGTTTGGCGCGTGGAGTGGGAGTGCCGTTAAACTCTTTGCTACAATCAGAGACCGTCCACTCAGTGGTCGAGTTGACACTATTTGTGCTCGAGTTGGATGTGATGGATGGCGACCGGTGTCCACAGCTCTCGACGACGTGCCAGGAACTGGTGGTCGCCTTCACCTTCGCGATTGTGATCGGAGCCAAAGGCACACAATTTGAAGCACATTCTGAGGTATGGTTTGGTATACTATTAGTAATGCTTTTATGTTTCGGGTTTGGAATGATTTGGTTTGTATTAGTCTTCAGTTTAATCGATATATTATCTAATTTTGTCGACTTTTGCGGACTCTTTACCGCCAATTCGTGTGACTTGTGTTCGCCCGCAGATAACCGGTTATTATTACTGTTATTATTTATATTCTCGTTATGATTACCACTAATTCTTTTATCACAGTTTGAGCTGTTCTTGAGACTGCCATTCATGTGAACGGTGGCGGGCGTTGTGGGGGCGGTCTGTTTGGCGCCGTTGTCCTCATCGGATGAGTCGTAGTCATCGTAAGGCACTAACTGTTTAATCGAGTCGTTCACTGACTTAGAGTTCGTGTTTTGTTTGTGATTCAGATGATTATTATTGTTATTATTTGGCATCACTTTCATGACACCCGACTGTAAGCCCGTTATGGTTAGGGGTTTCCTCTGAACAAAACTCGAGTTCAGGCTATCGTTTCGCACATTATTCACGTGATTCTGGTTACGAAACAACTCCGGACTCAGTCCGGGACTGGACTTTAGTTTGAGTCCATTCTAAGACAACAAAACAATTATGAATATAACGACTAAAACCTAATGACAATCAATACGTACGATAACGGGCGCCGGCTTATGAAAGTCGGTGTCCACTCGCACGTAGAACAGTACGTATGCCTGTTGGCTGAGCGCCTGGTTTTGATTCACTTGAACAGTGCGGGAGTCGTCCATCAGATACCACGAGTTGTTGGAGTTACGGACGTAACAGAAATAGTGCCCTGAGTTACACGAACCGCCCAAATGCACCAAAACTGAGTTCAGTTTATAGATAATGGGCGCACCCTATCATCAAACACAACACCATTAGCATTACATTCGTGACTACTTATAGGTCAGGTAACGGTATGTGACGGTAGCTATTCTCGAAACACCATTACCTTATTGTCGGACATGTATGGCCTGAGATTGAGTCGCTCCGGATATGTGACGGGTTTCGTGATTTTGCCGCCAAATATTCGGTGATAATCGAAACGCTTCAACTGAAATGTGGCCACATTTGGGGCCGAATAGATGGTGAACTGCTTGCGCGCCACTGTCTTCCTCTTACAACGCGTGCACTTATAGCTGTTCTCGTTCTGCAGGATCTCAGGCGTCACGAACTTCTCCAATGCCTTCTCCAGACTATTGGCATTCTGGAGGTGACAGAGGAACCGATGGATCAATTAGTCATCAATCATAATATACAGTACAAAAGGTGGTGTTAAGCACTCATACCTTAATATCGAGCATAAAATCCATGAAATAGTCGTATGTATTACTCTTGGCTTTACAGGCAAAACAGGTCACTTGACTCCTGTGGTAACCGCCGAAGATCTGGTTGATGGCAGTCGTCTCTTTGCTCTTAGGGTCCAGTTTGGATGCGTTGGGCACCGAGTCGTTGGAGTTGAGGCACGACTTCCACATGTTGTCGACCACATAACGCAAGAACTCGTGAGCATCTTCTTGACGGCCCAACTGGAAGTGTTTGGCGATGGCTTTAAGGCGTCGGCAGATCTCAATAGGTTTCACGGGTTGTCCACTATTACGGGTCTGTCGTATGAGTCGCGCCATTTCGCAGACCATACAAAACATTTGATTCATTTGTGCACCTAATCAGTGATAAGCATTAGTGATCGCAAAGCACACCACCGTCTGATTGTCTTACATCGAGCAGTGTTGTGGTCATTGGTATGCAATAAATAGTTGACTAAAGGGGGGCAGTAGGACAGGCATTGGAGTACACTATTGAGGAAACATGTATTTCCCAGATTGTGAAGACCGGCGCCAATCTTCTGGGGCTTTGAGGCGAACAAACAAATGAGTCTTCAATTCAATCAACAATTCATGAGATAATCAATGAATACCTGTTTCCAGTCCAAGAGGACTCTCTCGCGCAGAAACAGCACGTGTTTTGGCGCCACTAATCCGTCACTCGTATTATCATTTGAGTTACCATTCATTAGACTATTCACGTTTGGACTCATTTTCATTTGTCCGTTCAATTTGATGCCATCATTGCTTAAGACATTGTTGTTAAACACTTTGCCGTCGTTTGTCAGGACATTGTATTTGGTTTGCAATGTCTTCGCAGACATCGTGTCGTCGTCGTCATCGTTGGCCTCGAACTCCACGTGCGATATGAGTAGCGAAGACCGGGATCCGCTCGTTATCTACTCATGCGATCATCGGACCAAATGAGTGACAATTCTATATATATTATCAACAAATACCTGATTATTGATTGAATAGGAGTTCTCATCGAGAACTGAACCCATTCTTCGGGACCGCTCTTAACCGCCAACCGATGCAAGCGTTTGACGAATGAGTGGATAACTAACTACAAGAAGTGCTCATTCATAGCGACAATTGAATCGGTGGTAAGTGTTTCACCAATTCATCGGCGTTTGTCTCTGGAGTCTATGCGAAACAGACATGTCTTGTGGTAAGCCTTATGTCTCACGTCTTATATGTGTAACGCGTTTACCATTCAATAAAAGTGACGCCAATTGTCTCCCAATTGATCCCTATGTGACGAATAGGTGCGCCAATTTGTGTCGGAAGAGTTGAGTTAATAAAAAATATTTTTGTCATAAAAACACAATTAAAATTGAATTTACAGTAAAAATCGTTTACAAAATAAATGAATGCTTTTTGAACCACAAAATGGCTTTTCCCACAAAACTATATACAATACTATACAACACATTCTGTACTAAACGCCATTGGCGTCAACCTATATGAGATACAGCGTGTCGTAATAGTAAGTCAACATTTCTGTCAATACAATGCATTGAAAAATGCAAAGCATTGCAAAGCATAGGAAAAGCCGAAACACGAGTCTGTATGGCGTAAACATATGGTGTGTGGAGTGCCCTCTATTGCCATATAATGTCAACGCAAATGATTTGTGTGACAAAAAGTTTTGTTACATTTTGTAGAAAACTTTTGTTTGAATTTATTTAATAAATACTAATTGAATGTCACATTATTTTACAACAGATTCTCCATCTCTTTCATGAACTGGTCGTAAGCGTCGCCTTTTGTCGGTGCGTTCAGACCGCCGGCGCTGTCGCCGACACTCGAGTACCTCTTCATGTCATCAAAACCTATCGCAAAACCAAATGAAAAGAAAGTCTCAAAAATACCATTCAATGCACAAAACGCCGACAAATACCTGATTTATGAACCGATCTCTTGACGCCCTTATCATCGCGTTTCACCCGAAGGGCTACGGGTGTGAAACGGGTGGCGTCGGCGCTCAGATTCCTGAGCTGCGGCTTAGCCTCGATGGTGGCCCTGTCCGACACCACGTGTGTCTTCTTATCGTCCCGTTTGCCGCCCATTGGAGGGCCGGCTGTGGACGGGAATCCCGGACCCATTGGTCTCATTGGTTGCATCATTGGTCGAGCGTTGATCATACGGTGGTGCGGTGGCACTCCCGGCCTCATTGGACCCATGGGTGGCGGTGGACCAGACATAGGCGGGGGTCCCGATATTGGCGGTCGGCCTACCATTAGTCCGGGAATATTCTGAGGCTGAGATCCGGGTCGTAAACCCGATGGCGGCACCGGTGGCCTAAACATCATCATCGGTGGCGGCGGACCAGATGGCCTCAGGTTTGTCTGCAACGATGGCGGCGGTGGCACTGCGTTCAGAGAGGGTGGCGCTGAGGCAGCGGCGGTGGGCGTGGGCTGGGATGCGATGGCAGCCGGTAATGATTGTATGGATTGTATAGTTTGCGACACATTATGATCACTGTTGGGAACTGTTTTCTCCATTTGTTCCAACTCTTTGAGAAACTCATTGACGTCGGCGTCCTTTTCACCCGTTTGTAAGTCTTCACTGAAACGGATCCGTTTGCTCTTATCTTTCTCATCGCCTTCGCTGTCCTCTTCGTCGTCCAAATCGTCTTCTAAGTCACTCAACACAGGCGGTGGACCGGGAGGTACTCCAGGGGGTGCTCTATGCGGGCCTATTGTCTTGGAGGACACGGTTTGTCGCTTTAGTATTGACTGAGGAATGGAGTGATCGCTGAGAAAGGATGGCATCGATGAGCCGGCGGTCGGCATATTAGGATCCGTTGGCGCTGCCGATGGCAACGGTATGTCATCGATGGTCACCTCTTGAGCCGATTTGACTGATTCAAAGAATTTGATCATTTGGTTGCGTTTGGACTCGTACTCCACTTCCATGCGCTTCAGCTCCAGAAACCTCTGGTGATCCTCTTTGTTCTGTCAACACATACAGCAAACAGTTATGGATGTGAGCGCCGGTAGCTTACGGCACATACGTATAGCCTTAAGAGCCGATCCCACGTCTCCTTCATCTTCCGTCTCTTGTCTTTGAGGACCTTCTCGTTGAGCGGCGGAGGAGTGGATACGTTGTACTCCATCTGATCCAGTCGTTCCATGTCTGCGATTATCTGATACGGATCTTTGCCCTTAAGAACCGCCGTCCGGACGATCAGTCGCTGCTTCTTGTTCTGCAGAATTCAATGCAAGACAATCAGTGGTAAGGATGGTGTGAGTGATGGTCATCATCGGTGGTCACAAACCTTCCGGAGTTCCCGCTTTCGGGCCTCTTTCCTGTGCTGATCCGTCGGATTCATGTATTTACCACTTTTGGTGGTATTTATCGATCGTCGGCCCATATTCTTCCTGTTCTCGTGTGTACACCACTTACCACTGGATTATCACCAAAATTATGACAATTTAAAGACAATTAAAATAATGTTTTGTTTTGTGTTTACAAAACATTTCAAAATTAAAGCTCACTTTTGGACACAAATTACGGCTAAAACTCTAATGAAGTGCTAATCCGAGACATGCTTTACATATGATGTGATGCAATACATCGACAATTATGCCACAAATGGTTACAATTATGCCACAAATGGTTAGTTTTAACCCGTTTTACGATTAATGTATTATAAAAAGTATTTAATTTCATAATTAATTTTAAACAAATTTTAAAAATTATTGCATTTTATTAATAACATTGAATACAATCAATCAATTCTGGTGTGGAAAACAGTTTGACAGTATAAATACATTCACAGAATATTCTGTGCAGAATATTATGCAATTCGTTAGGCATTGCATTCAATGGTACGGTATATGTCATACAATTTGATGACTAGAAGTATATTTGTTATAACAATTGATATTACAGTTATATAAGGAATACAAATATATTAATATCTCATTTGGAAATCACATTCACAGTATATTTAATAACAAATTCTTTCGTGTGTTTAACAAAACGGGTTAACAATTCTTTACAAACACTTTATATTTATATACTTTACAAAAATCCAATATAATTATGGAGTTATTATAATGAGAGCAACAAATAAACTACAATAAGGGTTACAAATATATAATAACTGCTTAAAAAATAAGTTAAATTTATAAAATATTACCGGTACAAAAAACTTTTCATTAAAAAACAAATGTTATTTAATAAATTTACGCTAATATATTCAATATATAACTTAATTCTGTTATAATCGTTGAAATGAAACTAGAGTTTAATTCTGTATTATTATTATATAATAATAAGAAATTGAATGTAAATTCAAGAATAATCACAACATAAGAGTATCGAGTTATGAATGGTTTACGGTTTTTGTGTGGTATTCAATACAAAATTAATTTAATTTAATTTAACTCTTAATGTTTGCGTTAAGAACTTGATTTAATTGTAAATACTTTAATAATTATTGATTAAATAGAATCGAAAATAGAGTTTAGAATTATATTAATTATATTTTTTATAAAACAGAGAGAGAGAGAGAGAGAGAGAGAGAGAGAGAGAGAGCGGCATAAGTCAAACATAATTAGACTAATAGTCCGGATATTTGGCAACAAATTGAAAGCTTAGATAATCGGATCAAAAACAGAAGTATTGATTCATATATCTGAGGATATCATCAAAAAAATAACTTATTTAATGAGAATTGAAAAGTGAATAATAAGTATCTGAATGACAAAAATGAGTGCAAAAAACAATTGATTTAATTTATAACAAATCTATCAATTCTTGTACTTCTTTCTGACGGCTATACATATAAGCGGTCGTCTCCCACAACATATTCACTAACTTATGATTATCGGTCTCATTGAGGGGTATGTCGTCCGAGAGGGGAGGGTTGAGCCGGAAAAAAGGAATATTGATTTGAGAGCACCAGGCCTTCGCTCGTTCAACCACCTGTCCATCCGCCTGAGCCGCCTATAATCCACACAAATAGTCATTAATCTAATCAATTGACAACAAAATCGACTCTAAAATCAATGAAATACCTGTTCTATCAGTAATTGGATTAGAGATGAGGTCGAGAACAATGTCTTCGTCACACCTAAGAGTATAACAAAATTGTGAACTCTGTTGACAACACCGTAATGCCTACCCATGAAAGAGTCGGGTCGCGCGATGTCTATGACCTGCACCGTCTTTATAGGTATGGCTCCCGTTCCCAACGACACCACTAAATCTAAATGCAATTCTTCATTCTCTCTATTCTACAGCCAAAACCAAAATATAAAAATCATATTTATTTTCATTGCACACCAAATGTTTGTCAAAACAATTCTTACGGCAACTTTAAGGGCTTTATTGAGTGCATGGATTTCAGACAATGTATCTAATGTTGGATTATTAGATATAAGACCTCCTAATGGGACAAAAATTATATCAATAAATGCAATCTAATGGTAACTATGGATTGGTTACCGTCGAGGAATGCACCGCACGGACGGAAATAAGTTGGCGCCGCACCCGACGAACGGGCGGTCTTCCAGATGAGCTGCTCCTGTGGTTTAGGCATATCAGCGACCGGTTCCACTCGGTTCACGAAACCCAACACTTCATTGGGTGAGTCGTAGTTACGGAACAGTTGCAGATCGGGTGGGAATCTGTCGGCCACTGTGGCTGTGACCATAATACGGGGCGCTTTGATGTCACCCATACGGGTGTCCTCTCCCAACGCGTTTTGCAAGAACTTCTCCAACGGTTCCGATTCGTACGGACGGATTAGACCAACAAATACTTTATCCTTCAGTTTGAAGTATAGTTTACGACAATCAGCGGCTGTTTTACGATAAAAATATAACAATTAAACAGTGAATGAAGTCATATGAGAGTTCGTAATGCCGTACCTGAGTTGCCGGTGGCCAGCAATAGAGCTAATATACCGCCAGTGCTGGTGCCGGACATCCAGTCAAAATATTCGGACGACTTTTTGTTCGTTATTTTCTCCAAAACCCACAGCATTTGTATGAGAATGAGTCCGCGAACACCGCCCCCGTCCAGACTCAACACACGACACCGTTTGGGGGGTTCGGTATCGAAGTCCACTTCCATTTCCTGAGTCTTTCGCTTATTGACGGCCTCTTTGACCACCGATTCGCCCATCAGTTCGTCGTATAGTTTGACGCTTCGTTTAAACGGCGAGTTCTCGGGGGGAATGCCGTTAAAGTGGCTGCCGTTGGACTGCGAACACCCGTCCGTACAGTTACTGCGGTTAGTCGTACACCGTTTGGCGCCCACCGAATGCAACACATATAATATTAGGTCCATTTGGGAGCTCCGTTTGGCGGACGCCGCCAAATGTCGGGGCGTTTCGCCGCTCGAGTTCTGCACATTCATGTCGGCGCCGAACACTATCATCGCCTGGACGAGAGCCACCTGTCCGGCCTTCACCGCCAAATGCAACGGTGTGTTACCATTGGGACCCTTAGCGCACACATCGGCCCCATAGCTGAGCAATGTTATAACACAGGCAAGTTTGTTCCGGTTCACCATCAGGTGCAGCACTGTCTCGCCCTGAAAGTTACGGGCGTCCACATGACAGCCCTGTTCTATCAGGAGTTCCATACATTGGGGTGTATTAGTCCAGTGCAACGGTGTTCCGCCGTTTTTCATGTCTTTCGTTTCGAGCGAATCAAAAACCGATTTATTATTGTCTAACTCCTGGCGCCCGGGTGTCGAACCGTCGCCTATGGCCGCGCCGTTAGGGTTGGCCCCGTTCTTCAGCAGTTCTATGATACAGTCGGGCTTATCGTTATGACAGGCCAGGTATAGGGGCGGGAAGTTGTCCCGATTGCGCGAATTCACCAAAACCTCCAAATTAATGGCATTTGTGTTGTTTTGAACGCTTTGACAGATTTTGTTGATTATCTCTTTCGTAGTGTTGGCCGCGAAGTGCAGCACATTATTGTTCTCATTGTCCACGAGATCTAATTTTGGTGATAATGTCAATAGGGTTTGAACGGTAGCTAATCGGCCGGTCCTAACGGCGATGTGAAGGGGTGTTAGGCCGGTGTCCGGACACTGGGAGTTGATTATCTCGGTGTCGGCGGCAGACAATTGCCGGAAGTACTCGTTGAGCCCAAAGTAGGCGGAAATGTGGACCAAACTCTGGTTCAGGTGTTCTCTGATATAGTTGGAGAACTCCTGCAGGAATTCCGTGGTTATAGTGTTCGGACATATCAGTAGTATTTGTGGCAATATTTCGCTAATACTTTTGAAGAATTTGTCGATTTCTGTCCGCACTTTACATCGGATTAGACTATAGTTTGTGACAAACGAAAAGACATTAAAATCTCATTTAAATCTTAAGTAGTTTTTGCTAAGACTTATTGAAGAAACGTGTGAAGGACTAGTCAAGTGATAGTTAATCTTATTATCGATAAAATAAATTGTAACCAATCGCTACAAATAAGTATCAATAAAATGCACAGCAAATGCACAGCAAATGTCAACTAACAAATCAATATTTGGGATAAAAGTGCCGTTAATACCCCAAAAAGAGAGTCATTTTAACAATATTATAACTAACGACAAAACTATAGCCAAAAAGTTATTCAATCCTAAAGTTATAAACAAAAGGATTTCAACTCAAAATAAAGTGAAATAGTTTTAAAAACAAATAAATCTCAACAAATTTATTCACTTTAAAGCCCTGAAAATTCACGTATAAATCGCTTTTAAAAATGCAATTGAAAAGCAAACAAACATTTAAACGTCAAAAACATTTTTCACACACTTGTTATGTATTCAGATTCATGGCTTAAATTGTAATAAATATTAGGGAAAAAATTGAATTCATTTTTTTCATTTTCCCATTTGTTTAATAGACAACAAAATCAACATAAAAAGCGGATATTTGACAAAAAACAAGTCAATTGTAAAAAATCCTAGACTTTAACAGTTAGACAAATGACATAATGTTTGCACCGCTAGTTTCCGGACCGTCATATCTGGAGCACTGGTATCTCGAAATGCAAATACTATTTCTAATCGCTTATCACACGAATAGCACTTATAATGCATTCCTCTGTGATTAACTCATAAGTCATACCATAATAAGCATTACATACTTAATGCCATATTATAGATAAGATCTCAAACTCGTTATCTCACATGTGGTCACACCTTAAGTCTTAAGATAATACAGTGTAACCATCACTGAATTGAGTGGACAGACAGACAGACAGACAGACAGACAAAACTAAACTGAATTATAACCAAAACTACTAAATGTTGTCAAAAAACTGTTGACATGTCATAGGAGTTGTTGACACATCATGTGTGGGAACAGATGGTGACAGACATCCCCCGACAATAAGGCGATGTCTGTATGTATGGATTGCGGAGTGAGTGATGGGATGAATACCTGTAAGCAGTTTTGCTCTGAAGATCTTTGAAGACGACAATCTCGTAGGAGATGTCGGTAGCGGTGGTGGCGTTGGAGTAGCAGAATATGGGATCCTCTCTGGCGATCACCTGATAGTGGACGTAGTCTTCGTGTTTCACTTCCACCACTTGAAAGGGCGGGTAATCGTTGATATTCTTGCGGAACAGGTTCACCATTCGGTCGAAATAAGACATGTTTGCCATCAGAGGGTAATTGTCTGGAGGTATGAGGCGGTGGGCTATCACTGGACACAACAATTGTCTCGTTTATGACTGGAACTAATCAGTGATAATGACCACAAGAATGAATGGTTAGCACAAAGACTGGCATTTCATCATTGGTTGCAATGACTGTGCGATTGATGTGAATGTCTAATGAATGAGTGAATGGCATGTAATCGACGTATAGATAGCTATTAATCAGTGAATGCTTTCAATCGCTATTCATATTAAACATTGGATTTCACTCTCGGATTCACAATTCACTCAAACTTTTTGTCAAATGACTGCAAAAGTAAACACTAAATAAAAACCCAAACATTCATTGCAAGCGTAAGCGTCCATAAATTACGGCAAAACATTGGGGTGGGGGGGTAGAATCGGGTTTGCAAAATGAACATGGTCAAAGTATTAGGTTTGTCGGGAGGTATGTTGCAAAATGAATGACCTTTGACCTGGAATTAACTGCCCGTTAAAATGAATCCTAAAATAGTAATAAGGGGGGGCTTAAAATAAATCCCAAATCCAATACAGTAGTAATCCCACACTAATGTTTAAGTGAATTTAGAATTTAATTTAAAATTTAGCCCTGATTATGATGATTGTTTAATTAACCAAGATGACAGTAATTATTTGTTTGAATTATTGCCAAAGTATTCACTTATGTAAACGAGTATCGCATGTAAAATGAATCATAAGTTTATGGATAAAAAAAATATATCGATAGCCAACTCATTGTATGACTTAATCAATAAGTTTGCCCTCAATATCAAAGTGTAAAGTTTGCTGTACTCTAGTTTTATTCATAAGTATTAAATTTAATAGATTTTATTTTTATCTCTACATATTTAAATTAATTATACATTTGAAATGTTCAAAAATTGTATAAAAATTATTGCAAACAATATCTATATATTTGAAATATATCTTTGATAAGTAATTTTGATTACTTGTTAATATGTGTTAAAATTTCTACTTTCAGATCATTCGTGGTTTCAGATCATATAGACTTTGGATTTGTTTCTCACAAACAGAATAACACTGGATATGAAAATTGATATGATATTTGATTTGATGGTTGAATTCAATGAATGATACAATTCTGTGACAAAAATGTATTGAGCTATTGATTCTGGATTTGTTTTCATTTAAATAAGCGTCGATTGTCTCAAGTTTTCCCTCACAATGGTCTGAATGACTGACTGAAACACTTCCTTCACATTACTGGTGTCGGTGGCGGTTATGAAGTGAGAGAATACCCTTTTATTCTGGTTATGGGTGGCAGACATAGCGTTGAATCTGTGCACCAAATATATAGAAAAATCATTTCAATTTGAAATTAATTTTATGTCACTTGTAATATGATGTTAAGTATAGGCTATGACTTAAATTAATAGTTTTTACATTCAGTAAGCCATAGATTTTTTTCGGAATTTAATATCAAGAATATTCTTGAATAAGTATTTTTATATAAAGTATAAAGTTTTGATTTATTAAAAGACGCGAAATATACTATATATTCATATTCTGTTTGGCATATACTGTACTGTAATTTTAAGTCATATAAGAACAATTAATATCTGATCACAATGTATTGTCACTCATTTTATTTTATTTATCAAAAAACAATCTTTTTTGTAAATAAACAAATATTTTGATTACAAAAACGAGAGTTAGACACTAGATTTATACAAAGTTGAAAATCAAATCCTAGATTATCCTTCGGTTTCGTGAAAAACAAATTTTCAAAATAATGTCAAACCTGTGCTGAATGAACAGAGCGGCCGCATCACAGTCCCGGTCGGGACCCATATATTCAGCTACAAAATACCGGAGCTGTCGGTCCGTGAATAAGATCTTCTCACGAAAGAGATCTAATTTATTGAGAAATAATAACTGAAAAGCAAAAAATTAAATAAACCTTTAATGAGGTGTATATAGCCAATAGATCCCATCCCAGAGCACAACCCATACTCACAGTTGCTGTGAATCTGAAGTAAACACTATTACAGAAAGTGGAGAACAATTGAAACGATTCCCGCAAACGATTCTTATTGGGGTCTTCGATGAGAGTCATGTCGTACTCACTGATGGCCACCACAAACAGGAGTGCCTTCACGTCGTCGAAACACTGAACCCATTTGCGACGTTCAGACCGCTGTCCGCCCACGTCGTACATCCGGATCACCAGTTGGTCCACTTTGAACTCTACTCACTGATGGCCACCACAAACAGGAGTGCCTTCACGTCGTCGAAACACTGAACCCATTTGCGACGTTCAGACCGCTGTCCGCCCACGTCGTACATCCGGATCACCAGTTGGTCCACTTTGAACTCAGTCTCCACCACACCTTTCGTGCGGACCCGCGATCGCAGCACATCCGTCGTGTTTGGCACGTATTTATCGGATGTAATGCGAGACATGTTCTCGAAGAAGCTGAAGAAGAAGAAGATTATTGATTATATTTGTTTGCTTTTCATAGAAAGGTTTGTCATTAAAAGGATTATGTTATTAGACAAACACTGGCTTTATGTTAATGCGTTCACTAATAAATATTTTATACAATGTTGTATTAAATAAAAAATATTTTTCCTTTTATATCCGAAACTGAATTCATGAGATAACTAGTTATACAGTACAGTATTGTTTGGAAATACAAATTCGTGATATTTATGGCCAATTCTCTTTAGGTTTGGAGTCTTAATGTTTACGATTTGTATTTGAAATCATCTCAAAAGTATTCATGAGATAACTAGTTATACAGTACAGTATTGTTTGGAAATACAAATTCGTGATATTTATGGCCAATTCTCTTTAGGTTTGGAGTCTTAATGTTTACGATTTGTATTTGAAATCATCTCAAAAGCTATAATTTGAAACTCTTTGTCCATTACATGAATGCATTTATTCGACAATATTTCAATTGCCCTTTAATTTAGTGCTTTCATAAAATTTGATGCCAAATACGAGTCTAAATATGTCTTAAAACTGTTTTCATTCGTGAGCTAATAGTCTAACATACAGTACAGTATCTGACATAAAAAGCCAAAAGTATTGCCGTTTATACTATTAAAAGTCAATTTGTACTCTAAATGATATATTTTATTCAAATATTTATTCACATCAAGACGTAAAGTGTAATTTCTTAGAGACATATATTTTAATATTAAATTTTAGAAATATTTCTTATATATAGTTCAAATGTTTGAAATACTTTAATAATTTAATAAATATATAAATGTGCTTTATTATTTAGCATATTTCACATTTCTCTTATAAATAAAAATTGAGATAAATTTAGTTAGAAATGAGACAATAACTTACTAAAGGGCCGAGTCGTTGAGCTCGTACTCGAAACCCCTGGCCACCCCTTCGCGGATGCCTTTGTCCATCCATAAGCTCTTGAGGGCTGTCACCACATTTGGTATCAAAGTGTGGAACTCATCGTAATATTGATTACAATTCAGTATTTGTTGCCCGAACTCCTGAATAATTGACACGAAAATTGTTATGAAAAAATTCTAGCCTTTGAATATGAAATGATTGATAAGGAAAGGGATTATAAAAAGAGAATATTCTTTGCCTTATTGTCGGCGTTTTCGTAGTTAATATTCAGGAATCGCATTCCTATGAGCACATACTTCATAGACGTCACCAAATTGTCCAAAATTGTCAACTATTTTCAGTGCACATCAAGTGTTTAAATATTTATCATTTTCAACATTT